TTTTTTTTCCCCCCCCCCCCCAATAATAATTTACCAAGCATAACAACCTTTTGGCTTCTGTTTCCCCCTTTTTGTTAGGTTTTCTTTCCCTCGTATACTTCTGGTTCTTTGCTTGGGTTTGTCTTTTCTCCTCCATCCTTATAATCATATCTAAAATTTCATGTTCGAACCCCTTCACATTAACTCCGAATGCCTTGCAAACTTTCCCCATCACTAACTTGGTCCATTTAGATGTCTCAATTACTGTAGGATTCTGTAATTGCTCACCGGAATCGTACCAGGGGAGAGAGAGACAATCACTTGCTGATTGTAAAGAGAATTGAGAATCAGAATCACTAACCGGAGACAAAGCAATTCTGGGAAGCAATCTTGGCATGCACAGGGGATAATTCATATCCTCACCTTCATCATCAGCTTCCAGATAATGTAAAGAGTTACTATTCTGTTGATATTGAATATGATGTACATCGATGGAGTTGTTAGTTATTGGACTTTTTGCTCTCAATCTCTTGGGATTAGTGGCTGTCTCAGGTTCTACACCACCCTTCAAAGAATTCTCTGCATGTGGTTGTGAGGAGGCCATATCGATGATTGTAATAGATTCTTTTCCCAGACGAGAGTTTGAGTACTCAGATTGTTCAGGTTGTTGGGGTTGTTGATTCTCATCTATTACCCGTGTGATTAGAAAAAAAACCTTTAGCTCTCCATTGGGTAATTTGTGGTGGGGCTTTTTTATGTTTTTGGGCTTTGTGTTTTGGGCCTTTAGAATAATAGGAAGTATCTATGTTTGGGCCCTTTAAAAGAAGGCTCTTTGAAACCCTAGATTTGCTAGTTGAGGGATCCCCAGAATAATTTTGGGGCTTTACATTAACTGGTGGTACAAAGGAAGTGTCTAGGTTTGGGTCCTTTAAATGAAGGCCCATAGAAACCCTAGATCTGCTAGTTGAGGGACCCACAGAATAATCATTGGACTTCTCATTAGCTGATGGTACAAAGGGTTCCGAGATTTTTGAATTAAAGTGAGGCTTCTCCACATGCCCACCCACGTGCTTGTAACCAGAAAGGGGAACTGCAGGATACGAGGTCTCGATATTTGCAACGACCGGCAAAGCACCACCGGAACAACTCCGATCAGATTTTCTGGCGAATCTAGGAGTAGCAGAAACTTCATCTACCAAAGAAATTTCGAACTTCCATTCTCCTATATCAAGATTAATCTTACCCGGTGTTTTGGCTTCAGTGTTCCTTATGCATATCCTAGCCCAGAGAAGATGATTGATGTGTTTTGTATCATCATCAACCCCAACATAGCCACCACAAAATTCACCAATAGTTTTAAAAGTATCCAGTGACCAAGCATGAAGCGGGATGCCGAATGCTTTGATCCATCTGAGTTCCGACCTCTTGCTTGTTAGATCTGTACCGGCCACCGGTGTCCACCACTCCAATGACAATCGTCTTCCGTTCCAATGCCATTCACCGACATTGATTCTCTCAGTTTCTTCCCTTGAGGGAAACTGGAACAAGAATCTGTTACGAGAGATTGGTGTAATTTTTAGACCAGAGCATACATGCCATCTGCTAGTAAACCATTTGTGCAACACCTCTGATTTTGGGTTGTAGCTGAATGGGTCATTGAAGTAGCCAATCATACAACTCTGCAAAAAGTTTCTCTTGCCTTTAACTCAGAACCTGCTGCTTGAGACACTACCTTGTCCGGCCATTGATATATTCTGGCAGCTTCAACAAAAGGCTTTGTGTGAATATCAGTAAATGTCTGCAAAATCTCCCCAGCCCCTGTTATGTTCATCTTCCGGAACAATGATTGCATTGCTTCTATCTCCCACCCAAGTTTCAATTCTGACAAAACGGCCATAACTGTTGAAGTTCTGATACACTCTGTAAATGTATGTTTGAACCTTCCTTCCCCAACGTCTACATAAGTTCCCTGTACCCCTGGATGCTAGAGCAAGAGATTCACAAACCCATCGCAGATTCTCTTCATCAATGTAGATTCTGCTCGTAAATCTCCTGTTCCATTCTATCAGTGTATACCATCTAATTCGTCCTTCATGATTCCCTGCCAATTCGAATGATTTAGAGCCAGATGTGAAGAAAGTTCTTTCCCCCATGATTTGAAATCACCGGTGAAGATTTACACAACATATTTCAGAAGAGAGAGAGAGAGAGAGAGAGAAAGAGGAGAAGAGAGAGGAGAGAGACACACAAATAACTTTTATAACACAAGAGGCATGATCCATGATTTCAGGCTGTGAAAACATTGAGTTTGCATTTTAAGCAAAAAATTAGGGATGGTGCTGCAATTTGCTCATCATAAATCTTGCACATCCATGCTACTCAAAATGTTGTAATACATTGGGCTTCTTATCTTGGTGTGTTCGTCTGTTCTCCTATTATCTTCGTTTTTACATTTTCTCTTCTTTGTTTTTCTCGTTCTTCAAGGAGTATATTAGGAGATATTAGTACTATGTTATTTTCCCTCATGCTTTGTGGTTAACAGTTTATATGAATCATTATCAATTTCTAACAGGTTATTAGACATTTTGACGGATGGAAGGCTGACCTTGTTGTCTGTGATGGTGCACCTGATGGTAAGAAACTGCTTTCAACTGCCCTGATACATTACTTTGGTCTTTGCTGTATTTGACGAAACTAATCTGTGCTAATGTTTATCTTATGTTGCAGTAACGGGACTTCATGACATGGATGAATTTGTTCAGTCCCAGCTGATATTGGCGGTTAGTTTCTAAGAGAAAATAGGTGGAATTGGTTTAATGAATAATATTCACCTCTATATTGCAACACTGTAATAACTCTAGAAGGCACACTCATATAGATGTGTAGTTTTCATGGCTTTGCTACATGCCTGCATCTATAAAATTATTGGTGCCATTGTTGTCTAGGAACACTTGAAAGCCTAATTAGAAGTTCCTTGTTTTCTATGTAGGATGTCTGAAAGAAATGCCTTTTTGTGAATCTCCATCATAAATTGTGTTTTTGAGGAAGATAACTAATTCTTTTTCTATCTGGTGATGTTATTTCACTATTTTCACTTTGCTTCGTATATAGATTACCAGAAAAAGAAAATAATTGTTTCTGTATGTCATCTTACTGCATTTTTAGTTTTTTGATATCCTGCTTATAATGTGCAATTATTCCTTGAAAGATCAGTTATATGTGCTTTAAGAGATGTTTCTCATGTAAGTCTGCCATGTTGTTCTCAGTCTTTGTTTCATCTGGGTGGTTGAACTTGCAGGGCCTAACCATAGTCACTCACATACTAAAAAGAGGCGGAAAGTTCATAGCAAAAATTTTTCGAGGAAAAGACACAAGCCTCCTTTACTGTCAGGTTCATTGCACGTGTACTCATTATTTTTTGATTTAGTTACTTCACTCATTCAAGATCTCGTTTAGTCTTTAGACGAGACCTCTATTTCTTGTTTTCTGCTGTCGGATATTCTACATTCTTGGGTTATCATGGTGGATTGCTTATTTTTTTGCCTTCATAATGCAGCTAAAACTATTTTTCACAGAAGTGACTTTTTCTAAGCCAAAAAGCAGTCGGAATTCTAGCATAGGTGAGTAGCTAATGTTTTCTACCTTGTTTATGTGGCAAATTTTCCTGCTAATGGAACCCATTCATTTGCGAGCTCTTGCTAATTAAATATGTTGTAATATTTCGTGAGAACTTAATATTGTAAAATTTTAAGGATTTCTGTATTTGCTTTATGCCCTTACATCTAGAAAGGACCCCAAGTTTGTTGTTTCACACAGAAATATTACATAATATTGACTGCTTCCTATTGCCTTATGATATTTCTGCAGAGTTAGTTTGTATATCCGGCTTCAACTTTGGTTATTTCTATGAATTAGTGGTAGGTGTTTTAGGATAAATAACGTCTATTAGGTATATCAAATGTGAATTGGAATGAAACTTGGGGTGTGTTGGTATGAAGGAAAATGTGTTTCCAATTTTCCCATATTTGGTTGGCTCAAATATTTTGGAAAATATTTTCCTTATTAAATCATTTTTCTCCAAATGAAGGAAAATGACTTCCCTACCAAGAGAAGGGAAATCATTTTTCAAAACTCCTTTTCAACCTTCCTCACCCCTGGCCTCTCCCCCAATCCACACCTTTGCCGACCCGGCCTCTAAACTCCTTTTCAACCCTGACTTACCACCCTACATCACGACCTCACCCCAACCACTCCGAGACAATGGGTGAGGGTGGGGGAAGGAGCTGGGCAGTGTTGAGGTCGATGTTGAGGTTGGGTTTATGGAGTTGGGCTTGAGGTCCGGGGTTGGGTTTGGGGTCGGGATCAGGGTAGGGGATGGGGTCAGTGTCAGGGTTTGCGGATGGGGGCAAGGTCGGGGTTGGGGTTCGCAGTCTAATTGGTGATAGGGTCGGGATCCAGATTGAGGTCCGGATTAGAGTCTGGTTCGAGATTAGTTTATGGGGCCGAGATTGGGTCTGGGGTTGAGGTTCGGAATTCAGGGTACCCGTAACTCCACCGCCTCGCTCCTGCCCCCGCCCTCACCCGTTTCGTCTCTCATAGTATTTGCCCAGATTATATATTTTTCATAACATTTTTTGCTAACTAACCAAACACTAGAAAATAAGTAAATAAACTACTATTTTCCGTGGAACACATTTTCCTTCCTACCAAGCACACCTTTGTATTTTTATATTTCCGGGTGGAAGATATCTTAAAGCAACACTAGAATTGCTATGCACATAAATCTAATACTAGCGTTACCTTGTACAGAGGCATTTGCAGTTTGCGAGAATTACTCTCCACCTGAAGGATTTAATGAGAAAGATCTTCATCGCCTTCTTGAAAAGATTGGAAGTCCATCTGGCATAGTGGACCTAGGTAATTTCCATGTGCAGATGCTTCTTCTCTAAATGGCCTTTTACTTTACGCCAACTTTAACTTTTGCCACCTTATGATTTTTGAGGCAAGTGACATGGATCTTAAATCTGCCTCTATATCTTTTTCTTCGTGGTGGAATATAGTTTTTAGTTGCTGTTTTTTATGTTGGAAGTAATGCGGCTTCCATTTTTTAAGTTCAGATTATAATTAATTCCGACTATATATTTGTATTTTGCATCATCTTTCAAGCATTTTTTTGCATGACAGATTGCAGTAGTGCATGGCTGGAAGGTCCTAATAAGGTGTATATTCCATTTCTGGCTTGTGGAGACCTTAGTGGGTATGATTCAGACCGTTCATATCCACTTCCTAAAGCTGCAGATGGAACCTATCAGTGTTTAGATCCTGTACAACCTCCAATTGCACCGCCATATAAACGAGCTCTTGAAATGAAGAAAGCGTCAAGTCAAGGAATCCAAAACCTAGACAAGCTTTCTCTTGGCTCCTGATCTTACCATCCAGAATTATCCCATTCCGTGACATCTGAAAATCGCTTATATGTCACCAAATGTAAGTACTCTTTATTGCTAATTGATGAATTTAATATGTATTGTTAAGACTTTAGATAGTTTAAACCAGATGAGAGTCATCTACTTGTGTCCCAGGGCAAAGGTAGTACAGCACATGATGTGTGGTAGGCGCGCTTCATGTGAACTAAGTTTGGAGAAAGATAGGGGAGCTAGTCCATTATCCACCAAGTTTCAAGTTCAGAGCAACTGATTTATCAGTTATCAGAAAAGAATGATAGTAGTAATATACTTTGCGTAATAACGAATTTATTTTGTACTTGGGTGATTAAATCTAAAATTAACAGACAATGATCACTGGTTATATTACATCGCGTGAGACTTCCTGTGACAACAGTAGTTCTTTAGATGTATGAAATGATTTTCTAGATTACTGCTAATGATGCTTATAGTATAGGCCTTTTACCAATCATTAATGAGAAAAATAGGTGTTGTATTCCAAACGATTATTTTTTAAAATGACGAAACGTAATTTTGTCGTAACTTGGTTTGCTTTCTTTAAGACTTGGTTGTGTTCCATGTGAATTTGAGTGTGTAACAGTAAGCTAGTCAACAGTCAAATCAATATGTAACTAACGGGTCAAATGGAGTTGCCATAATTCAGCTGAAACCGAGCAGAAAATGGCAGCAATTTCCTCCTCAATTGCTTCTCTTTTTCAACCTTGACACTCCTAAAAACCCATGATATACTTTCTGCTCCAGGATATCACCATATAAATGTTTATTTACACCGATGGTGTAAATATATTTACACTATTAGGTTGGATATAAGATAATTTAAATGAAATATATTTTGTGCACATGCAGTGTAAAGAATTTTCATATTATTAGTTAACATGGAACTCTCCGCAAAACCTAATATGGGTAATAACCTGTTGTTATCGGTTAAATTATATTGATAGTATAATATTTTTGGTACTATCGGTATACACAACTTAAACTCACTCTCATTTTAAATGAGAATTTAAGTTTTGTACTTCGTTAATTTGATCTATACAATAAAATAGGTAATTTTTCACAGCCAATTTAATATGGTAATTTAAAAAATAAAGTAATTACTTACTATAACAGTCAAATTACATTGGTGATGTAAAAAAATACGATCGAAGAAAGAATAGTCACATTCACAAGGCCAGGACTATGTTGACATTCATTTAGCCACTGCCCAAAACAACTTTTACAGCTTTTAGTATATATTTCAAAAATCTGATTAATTAGGTTTAACTTTAATGAATTTTCTCTATCGAATTAACTATTTAAATATTATTTCTAGCAGCTTTTTCATTATTATTTATACAATATATCACTCAACTTAAAGTTTTAAAGATGATCATAACTTGGATGGATAAGGCAACATTTGGGGAAAAACTTGAAGAATGAATATTCTTTTGGGATTGCATGAGTTAGACAAATCAAAATTCATAAATCTTGTCTGCCGGCCACTAACTAATGAAAATTTATTGGCGATTGCCATCAATCTGCATTCAAGTATAGGGAAAATTTACCATTTAATTTAGGTTATTAATTAATATTTATTATATATAATTACATTTTATTATCGATTAAATGATATAATAATGTAAATATACTCCCTTCATTCACTTTTTCTTGTCTACTATACTAAAAATACATTTTTACTTTTACTTGTCCATTTTAGCAAATCAAAAGATTTTTTTTTTGTACCCTTATCATTAATTATTCATTCCCTAAATCTCTTCCCAGACCTTTTAAAATGCTAGCATTATTATGAGTGGGAGGGGAAAACATCTACTGGAACAACGGAATAATTTGTAGTTCCTGGAAAAGAAAAAAAGGTGTACATACGTGTTAAGTCTCTTTATAGNTATATAATTTATTATTTCTTAAGAATATGCAAAGTTCATCGTGAACAAGTAAAAGTGAACGAAGAAAGTACTTTATCATATAAGTGCATAGAATTAAACTCAAATAAATAACAAGAATAACAAGTACAACTGGAAGAAAGAATTTACATAGAAAAGGATCACTTGAAAAAAGAAAGGATATATAAAAGTAAATACATCCAAAATCTTCAAATTAAAGCCGGGCGTTACAATATGATAAGTAATTTTCTGCATCTATGCTACTCTAGCTAATTTACTAATTCCAAAAGTACTGAAATCTTTTGTTGTGTGAAACTTAATATTCCTACATAATAAACAACTAAAATGTCTACATATATTTTTTCCTCCTCAATTCATCTACATAATTACAGTAACATAAAAACTTTTCCTTTTGGATAAGAAAAAGAAAACTAATAAGAACAAAAAAAAAATATTCACTCCTGTGTAAGCTTGATCACATTGTCGGTCCCAAGTCTCGATGAAGGAGGAGTGTTATGGCACGGTAGAATAGCAGCGAGCGTAAAACTATTGGCAAGTACTGCTAGAAACAATTTATATAACCGATCCCAACTTGTTTGAAACTGAGGCGTAATATAATTGTTGTTGTCGTTTAGGAGAAAAATGAAAATAAAACTATTGGCAAGTACTGCTGGAAACAGAACTGGACCTGTGTAAACAAGAAGAAGAATTCAAGAACTCAATGCAATCTTCAATAGCTTCAGCTCTTTGAGAATCATGAATTGTTTCTGCATAAGAACGTGATCTTGCTAAGCTTGCTGATGATACTTTACGTGAAGACCTTTTTCTATTGGAATTCGAAAGGAAATTTAGAGCATTAGCCACTTTAGTTCCAATATTCTTTAGAAAACTAGCCACAGAAAATTCATCAGAAGAAGAGGTTTTTTGAAGCCTAGAATTCCAATTAGATGATGAAGATGGCTTCTTTTTAAAGTAAAAATTGTTTTGGTCATAGACATGATCAGGGCTAAAATTGACTCTTCTACTCATTTTCTTTTAATTTGTGTGTTATTGGAAGAGAGGGAGAGTTTTGTAACATGAAGAAGAGAGGCAGTTGGGAAAATGATGAGAGGTATTTATTGAGAGTTGAAGAGAAAGAAAAAGATACTACTCCATATATGGCCCCATTTATTTTTCAGTTTTTATTGTGGTAATAATAAAGAAAAGAAGAAGATTCAAACCTACTTGACCTATTTATTGTAATAAGACCAGAGAAAAACTTTAACTGATATTCTGCAACTTTTCATGGCCCATATTCATATCAGTTTGACTATTGACCAAATTAGTCTTTATCTCATTTATTTACTCTCATTATTTCATGACCTAGACTAATTAAGCTACCCATGCATTCCCATATATATAATTAAAATCTAGCAAAGTATTGTTGCAACTACTACTTATTTGTGATCAAATGGGTGTGAATTTACAAATATATATCTTCAAGTTCTCTTTCTATATATATATATATAGAGAGAGAGAGTTTGAGTTAAAAATAGTGATCTTGCTGACACATGCGGCTAATTAGTTGGGCTTAAATGCAAAGAGAAATAATTGATGGCCTTATGTGTTTACACCAAATTGGATAAGAGATGTCTATTTGTGTATTTGTAATATAAATAAGAAGTCTTAATTGTTGAATCTCTACCATTTTTTAGTTTAATAAAAATGAAGAGGGTAGCAAGTAAAAATTGAAAGGTGGAAAATAAAACATGTATAAGAAACTAAAAGATACATTAGACTTTGGGTAAGGGACATAGTGACTTTGATTTATTTCAAGATTGATGAAACGTGCATGGAGGGCAATCATGACGTTAGTATATATAGGATATATATATCCACAACTACATTTACAAAAGTTGAAGAGATATCATTTTCGAATAATTAGTCATCTACATGTACCATTTTTATTTTCTTGCTGATTTTCTTCCAAAATTGACTTACAATATTGCAATGAAGAACATCTACCTTTGCCACAACTATGATTTTAGAATTTGGCTTCTGAAATCTTAGTTTCCAGATTTATCAGTGTAAATTAGAAATTTACAGAACAGAGAAAAGATAAAATTTGGTCAAAAAAGGAGAAGTGGCGGGGATGGCGGGCCCCTACTAGGAATGGGATAAAGTGAAATAATGTACATTTGTTTTTTTGTTTTTTTTAAAGGAAGAGGGCAAGACTCAAGAGCTTAGGTGGAAAAGAGAGAACATGAAAGGAATTCATAATTTTTTACAAAATTCAAAGTATAGAAAATAAACTAGTAATTGTAGCGATGGATGCAACTTTTAGGCAATGAGTTCAGAGTATATATATTTTGTTGTGTGCGTGTGTGAAAACCAACTCATATTTTTACAGATATAGTACATTTAAATCATAATCTCAAAAGATAATTAGTGGCGGAGATAACTTACAACAAGTTGTGTCATCTCACACCTCTTCATCGAAAAAAATCTAAACATACGTGTACATAATATATAATTAGTGGCAAAGATATCTTATTATAAAGAGTGTCATCTGACANTATATATATGATTTACGCTGCTTGAAAATAATGCAATACCTCTATTTGGAAGAGGGAGGTAGAATTTTAAAATCCCATAATCTCCGTTCCTTCCTCAGTTCTAGATCTCTTTTGGTTGAGTGGTAGTGATTAAGTAGTACCCCTTAGTCTATAGTGGATGTGGTTAACGATGTGAGAGTAAGGTCATCTCCTCGGGTGAGGGCAAGGGTGGGAAGGGGTACAAGGAAGCTTCTATGCTGAGAGTTGGGTCCTAGAACATAGGGACGTTGATGGGTAAGACTATAGAATTGGGTAGGATACTTCAGAGAAGGAGGATCAACATAGCGTGTGTCCAAGAGACCAGGTAGAAGGGTACTAAGACACGTGATATTGACGGGTATAAGCTGTGGTACTCTGGAGGTGCTGGGGGAGGGGGGAGGGTAAGAATGGGGTGTGTATCTTAGTTAACAGGAATATTAAGAAACTAGTGGTTGAGGTTAGGAGGGTAAGCGATAGGGTGATTGTTGTTAAGCTTGTAGTTGGGGGGCTTACTTTAAATGTGATTAGTGCATATGCTCCTCAAGTAGGCTTGGGTGAGGAGGTCAAGAGGTAATTCTGGGAGGACTTGGACAAGGTGGTGCGTAGTATTTCATGCACCGAGAAGCTTTTTATTGGAGGGAATTTCAATGGCCATATCGGGGCTAATGTTGGGGGTTATGATGATGTGCATGGAGGATTCAGATTTGGAGATAGGAATGAGAGAGGTACTTCGCTGTTGGATCTCGCTAGAGCTTTTGATTTGGTGGTAGTTAACTCGAGTTTTTCTGAGAGGGAGGAGCACTTGGAAACTTTTCGGAGTACAGTGACCAGGACTCAAATAGATTATCTTCTCTGCATGAAATGTGATAGAGGTATTTGCACGGATTGCAAGGTTATCCCGAGTGAGTGTCTCACGACCCAACATAGGCTCCTGGTAGGGATGTTCATAAAAATCTGAA